GCCACTGCACTCTTCTCCAGGCATAGGGTAGAGCTCTGTCTTGATTAAAAAAAAAAAAAAAAAAGAGTACGTCTTTGTACATTCAGTTGCTCATACTGTCAGGCAGCCACAATCACCCTCCATCTCCAGGACTCATCTCCTCACACTGAAACTCTGTTCCCACTAGGCACTGCACTCTCAGCCCCTACCCCAGCAGCCTCCATTCTACTTCCTGCCTCTATGAATCTGACTATCTAGGGACCTGACCCAAGTGAGATCATATATACTATTCTCCCTTTTGTGTCTGGCTTGTTCCATTGAGTGTGTTTTAAGCCACCTCGTCCCACGTGCCAGTGTTCTCTCCCTATCAATGCTGAAGCACCCACTGTATGCCTGCACCACATGGTGTGGCCATCCACCCATGGAGGGACACTCTGGGGCTCCTAGCCTCATTCCTGGGCCCGATGCTGCTATAAGCACGGCGTGCAGTACCTGTTCACAGCCCTGCTTTCAGTTCTGTGCACAAACTGGATCATACTGTAATTTTATTTTTAAGTTTTCTGAGGAACCTCCAAACTATTTTCCACAGCAGCTGCACCGTTTTACATTCCCACAAACCATGCACAAGGCTTCCAATTACACTCTACATTCTCAACAACATTTTTAATTTTCTCTTTTTGTGTTTTGTTTGTTGTTTTTGAGACAGAGCATCAAGCTGTTGACCTGGGTAGAGTGCAGTGGCATCACAGCTCAAAGCAACCCCCAGCTCCTGGGCTTAAGCAATTCTTTTGCCTTGACCTCCCAAGTAGCTGGGACTGTAGCCGCCTGCCTCAATGCCCGGCTATTTTTTGGTTGTAGTTGTCATTGTTATTTGGCAGGTCAGGGCTGGATTCGAACCCGCCAGCTCTGGTGTATGTGGCTGGTGCCTTAGCCACTTGAGCTACAGGTGCTGAGCCTGTTTGTTTTTTTGAGACAAGAGTCTCACTTTGTTGCCTCGGTATTTAAGAGTGTGGTGGCATCATAGCTCACAGCAACCTCAAACTCTTGGGCTCAAATGATTCTCTTGTCTCAGCCTCCCAAGTAGCTGAAACTACAGGCGCCCACCACAATGCCTGGCTATTTTTACAGATAGGGTCTTTCTCTGGCTCAGGCTGATCTTAAACCTGTGAGCTCAGACAATCCACCTGAGCTCCAGAGTGCTAGGATTAAAGGAGTGAGCCACTCCCTGCCACCCCTCTCTTTTGTGTTTTTTAATAGTGGCCATCTGGCAGCGCCAGTAGCTAAGTGGGTAGGGTGTCAGCCACATACACTGAGGCTGGTGGGTTCGAACCCATCTCGGGCCAACTAAACAACAATGACAACTACAACAAAAAACTGCTGGGGGTGGCACCTGTGGCTCAGTGGGTAGAACGCTGGCCCCGTATACCAAAGGTGGCTGGTTCAAACCTGGCCCCAGCCAAACTGCAACAGAAAAATAGCCGGGCATTCTGGCAGGTGCCTGTAGTCCCAGCTTCTCAGGAGGCTGAGGCAAAAGAACTGCTTAAGCCCAGGAGTTGGAGGTTGCTGTGAGCTGTGTGATGCCACAGCACTCTACGGAGGGCAATAAAGTGAGACTCTGTCTCTAAAAAAAAACCTAGCTGGGCACTGTGGTGGGCACCTGTAGTCCCAGCTACATGGGAGGCTGAGACAAGAGAATCTCTTAAGCCCAAGAGTTTGAGGTTGCTGTGAGCTATGACGCCACAGCACTCTACCCAGGGTGACATAGTGAGACTTTGTCTAAAAAAAAAAAGAAAAGAAAAAAATAGTGCCCATCCTGCACATGTTGATTTCTTTTTTGAGACAGAGTTTTTTTTTGGTTTTTTTTTTT